ATAGAACCTGTACAGGCTGAAACCTCAAGGCGATATACCAAGGAAGTGCGATAGCGGGTTTGTGAGGAGAGGGAAATGTGGCGGCACGCAATGAGTGTCAAAGCCACCCTCGAACTATACCGAACCTACAAGGACACCATCGACACAGTTAGTTTGTACAACGGCATCGGGAGCTCCCTTCTTTTCGAGGCTAGCGCAGGCGCGCTCCAAACCCTCGCCTACAGAAGAACGTTTGACAATGCGGTGCTTTCGTTGTTGTGTCGCGCGTGCGGAGGAAACAATTGTGCACATTGTGCTCGAGTGCGGCAAAATAGGGCTCCCGGAGACGGAGCCATTGCACACAGCGCTGGGCTATGCGGGTGAGGATGGTGTGATTAATCAACAAGCAGTGAAGGAGACGATGCGGCGTCTCGAGCGCTGGACGGCAGTGGTTGTCTCGCAGCGAGCGAAAGCACTGGGTGGCGCAGTGCAGTGTAGCAGCGGTTACAAGCTTGAGCAGTGCGTAATTTTGTGTGTGTGTGTGTGTGTGTGTTTGTCACCAATTTATATGCTAGGGCGCCACTACACCCTCCCGCTAAAAAGGGAGCAGCATCAAATCATCATCATCAACTCAGGTTTTTCATATAGCGATAGAAAGAATATATATATGATAAATTAAGCACGAAAAATCAAACGAATGCTTGTCGCCAGATGTGCACTCAACGCTGCTAGAGAAAGAACAAGCGCACATAGATAAACTTAAAACAGGCGCGCATATCGGAGCGGCACATGGTATGCGATCGATGATGCATTCCGTAGCCATACGTAGCGCTGACGGCGGCGCTGGCGGGTCCGCCGCCGCACCTCGCATCTCCCCGCACGTTGTGCGCCGGTAAAACGACATTTGGCGTAGTGAACATCATCGCACGATTCACAGCACTGCACGGAAATCCACGACGAACGAGGAGCAGATCAGGCGCCATCCCGCTGTGAGGCCGATCGAGGCGTACGCCGACCCAAAGAAGCAGCGCTCCGACTTGCGCTGGCGAACTGGGATGCGTTGTTCAGCACGTTGCACTTTACAAACACATCCCATCAATGAACGGTTCAACGCACATGAGAAAAATATCCTGCCGCCGCGCCGCACTGCATGCTGCCACCGCTCTCCTTTCGTCACGGGCCCACCGAGCGATCGAACCGGTCGCTCGTCTTGAAATAATGCGCTACGAAAAATTGTAACCGTTTCGTCACTAGGGCGAAGCGATGTATGCGACCGCAACAAATTGTCAGGCTAGCAGCTCCTTTAGCATCCGCGACTATGTGTAAGCGCAACAAAATCTCACGTAAGCAAGCGCGGCACCGATCGAAGCTATCTCCGCGCTGTTTGACGCTTGAAAGCAAACTGCGGCCTGCTTGGGTGGGGTGAGAAGCGCACGAAGCTACGAGCGGTCTCTACCGATCCCCTGTCACGATAACGCGGCCGGCGGTTCGAAGCGGCCCTCGAAACCCTCCACTTCTTCGGAGCCGCCCACGGGCGCTTCACGCGAAAGACGGCCGCGCGTTTCCTCCTCGCCACTTGGCCATCAGCTGCCCTTCTTCAACCTCTCTCTCTCTCCCTCAGAAGATATGACCAGCGGGGCGATGTTATCACTCTGTGTGTCTACGCGTCGCAGTCCTTTGAAAAAGGAAAGACGCCATTTCTGCAGCCTTATAGAGTTACAGGTGTTCTGTGGCGTTACATGTCGCGATCGCTGGCGCGCGCGCTGTCACCGCAGCCATCAGTGGGCTCCGTCTAGGCGTGCTATAAAAGCCATTTCTCTCTCTCTCTCTTTGCCGTATAAATGAGCCCCCCCCCCCCAGTGGCGTAACTAGGGGGGGGCAAGGGGGTACAAGTGCCCCGGGCGCCACTAGGGAGGGGGCGCCAAGCCGAGTCCTCGGGTTGGCGCCCCCTGGAAAGGTTGTCAATGTTTTTTTCCGTAAAACCGCCTGGAAGGGGGGAGGGGCGAGGTTGTAATGTACGACTGGAAGTGGGGATGGTGGTGAAGGAAAGGGTTGCCGCAATGGCTTTTGCATCGGGAAAAGGATCCTCTATTTTCATTTTGCTGCGCTACCTCCGTGCCTTCCCATGACCCTCGGCTAAGCTTTGTTTTGTGCTCCGCAGCACTGGGTTAGATGAGTTTCAGCGAACCCCACCAGCCTCCCAAACCACTTACTGAAAGCTTCCCTGAAACCAACCACGTACGTAAACAAAATAAAATAAAAAAGTTCGAATGCACCTTTTTTGAGTAAGAACAGAAAACTCCAACGAAATAGCCGATCGTCCAACGACTAATCGTCCACGCAGCGGCGGAAGGAAGGGCGAATATAATCCGTGACCTCGGCACCAAAGGCTAAACAAAGGCGTTTATTCGCAGAGTTCTCTGGAGGAAAGACGGAGAAAGCGTGACACGACGGCGACGTTTGTTGATTCCCTGCATCGCGGGCGCCAGCAAAGCAATAGAAGGGCGGGGGTCAACGTTTCCCACATGCCATCCACCGCCATGGGCAGGTTCATCCTTTGGCCCAAAGAACACGCACCTGCGAAAAAAGCGCAGAGCGTAGTGTACCCGACAGCATGTGCCGACTGCCCCGCTTCGTACGTTGGAGAAACCAAGAACTTCCCTGAAAGAATGCGGCCGCACAAGGATGACCTCCATCAATGGAACAGCGAACGGAGCGAAACGGCAGAACACTCCGACCAGTTTAACCCCCATACCAGACCCGAGGGCGCGGTGTCTAGCTGGTTGCTTTGTTTTGTACTCACCCTGCATTCCTTGGGATGCACAAATAGCGCGAAAGCTTAGGTACGAGAAACTTGGGCCTGGGAAGCGCCCGTGCCGTCAAGATTTTTGCAGTGTGGACTGGAAGAGAACAATGACGGGTAAGGGACTTCCGGAAGTTTGAATAAAAAAAGAAAAATACTATACAAAAACGCGGGCGTAGCTCATCGAAATCAGAACTGGTGGCCCTTGGCCTCCGAAATGGCCCGCCGCGCGCCAGTAGGCAATCGCGGAAGCCTACATTAGCGCTTTTAATGGGGGGGGGGCGCGGAAATTATCACGGGCATAATGAGGGGCGCGGAAATATATTTGCCCTGGGCGCCGTCCTATCTAGTTACGCCACTGCCCCCCCCCCCCTTTTTTTTTTATATGCATATTGAAAAACTCAAGGGGTTGCAACGTGCGATTATTAGTGAATCGATTCGAAAGCTTTGATATGTGATATAGTTCAAAACGACACAGACATAGAAGGGCGATTGAGAGAATGCAATTATAAACCAAATAAACTGGTGCCTGAGGTGTTCTTGGCCCTCTATGTTCATGCGTGTGGTTGCAGACCTTTGTTTTACAACACAAGTCATTGTTGATCGATTTAAGAGGAGATCGCGTGTCTTAATTGTTGAAGCCAAACTTACCGATGCACTTAATGATCTGTGTGTTAGCAATCCATCGATAGCATTGTCACAGTTGGATTTCTTGCACAAGTGGTTTATTTACATTATTATCCTTGCCACAACCTCACTTAGCTAGAGTGACTTACTTTGCACATGCCTCCAAGTGATCCCACATGCTCAACTATCTGCCTGGCAATTGTGGCGTATAAGCGGTATGGTTTCAAATACCAACACGCGGCCAGTAGCACTGTGCGGTGTTATGTGCCTTCTTATGCCCGGCCATGAGTTGTTTCGCGCTGTACCACAGCTTTTTATAGCAACAGGCTTGTGTGTGTTTACACAATGCCTTGAATTTCAGAAACCTCAAATCAAGCAGCAAGAGCTATGACATAAAGGTTCACAGTAATGGCTCGTTATCATTCCATTCATGTTCAACAAGAATGTGTGACCACTGTATCGGTTGTCTTTCTTTTTATATTTAAATTAAAACCACAAATAAATTTCCCTATGCTCTCTCTTGCTTTATATATTCAAATTGATTCCTGTTGTCTAATTGTCTCAATAAAATTCTTCATCAAACCTTTAAAGTGTTTCTTGTACATATTTATGGCATTGTCTGTTAGGCAGGTCACCCTGAGGATATGTTTTTAATTATTAGTATCCAGGTTTTTCTAGCACTGAGGAAGAGGAATTGAAGAACAAAATGTGGCCGGGAGAGATGGATGGCCACCTTTTGCAAGCTACAAGTGCAACACCAGACAGAATCTTGAAGATTAATGAAAGTTGGAGTTTTTTTTTTTCCAAGAGACTCGTTTTTTGTTTTTTTTTTTCACTCGCATGCAGGGGCTCCTTTTCTTTTGATAATCACAACCAGGTGAATTCTACACACAAGGCCAGGGGAAGCGTGGGGTACATTAGTTTAGAAAACATGAATGTTGGTCGAGTCGGTGTTTGGACATAAATACCATCGTAAGTAGTGCAATGAGACTGGACAACAGAAAGGGAAAGAACAGAGTAGCAATTGTAGTCTTCAACACTAGTGTAGTAATTATGTCGTTCATTCATAGCGAGAGCCTTGTCAAGGCAGACTTACGTAGTGCCTTAGGTTTGCATCCGAAAGCTTACTGGTCAGCTTCTGCTTTGTGCAAAGATCACATAGCGCTCACTCACTGTCTTAGCTATGCACGGCACTGGCCAACTCTCCCGGGGCTTACATGAACATAAATACCCAACGAAGTGGACGGAAAATCACCTTTTGTCATAGCGCAATAGGAAGAGTATCGGACAAACAGTTCAAGCGTTGTGCATTTGCATCTTGTCGGTTGAAGGAGTGATTTTTCATCCACTTTAATGAATTTCAATTCAAGTCACAATTACTGCACTGCTGCGAAAGACAACTATTGATGTTGCCCCCCATACTTTCCTTGGCCTAATTGTCTTAAGGATTCAGATCGTTGCATCCAGGAGACATAACTTAAACATTTACACAAGCAGCAATGTCACGCACTTCTGCATGTTCTTTATTCAACCACAACAATGAAGAAAAGTCTTTCAGGGTGCACCCCTACGGGAGCGATGGTGAGGTGTGCTACTGCTCTGTGCATTTCCGGCTGTGGGTGACCAACTGAAAGTGCTGCACAAATCTCTTTCCGCAGAGGTCGCAGGCGAAAGGCCGCTCGGCCTTATGGTTCCTCAGATGCGCAGTCAGGTCACATTGAAGTGCGAAGGTATCGGTGCAGTAAGGACACTTGTGGTCCCCAGTAGCACTGGGCACGTGCATTTTGTGGTGTTCAATGAGTGACGCCTCCTTGATGAAGGTAGCACCACACTGCCCACACTCCAGGCGCGTCGTGCTTGTTGGGTGGCTGTGAACATGCTTCAAAAGCTCCTGCTTCGTGGTGAACCTGTGTACAGAAAAGAAACACTTCGATGCCGTCAATCGCATAGACTTTCAATACAAACCTATATATGAGATGCTGGACATCACGCATGAAACTCTAGGAAAAGACAACTCATATTAAACATATGCAAACAAGAGCATTTTGATTGAGGTCCAATTCAGAAACAACACCCAATACACTTTCGGTTCTTTAGTTTATAAGACCCTTTTCATAATTGTAAAAATAGCTTTTCTTCGATGCAGTTTACCCATCTAATGGCGGCTACTAGCTTCTGCAAACAGCGTGTTCAAGTGCAATTTGTTCGCGCTACGATTCAGAAAATGTAGCCACGATTTTTTTTATATAAACACACATAATAGACGAGCATGAAACTCCCCAGTTGGCCTACTCTCCAATTGAAGCACAACAGGTGCTGCCTTTAGTTAAAAAAAATTCAATGAGGTGGTTTGAAGCAATTACATAACACATTAATAATTGCAAATATTAAGTACTAAGACAGATTCATTGAGATAAAAGATGAAGAGCAGATGACGGCACAAAAAAAGAAAGAATGGATAATGAAAGAAACCACGAGAAGGGTCTTTCATGCGTCAGAGAGAGATAACTAACCGATGCCTGCGATGCGAAGTTGTCAACGAACTGCACACATGCTTGTCTCAATGGCATCACATACATTACCGAGTCAAATCATCAGTGCAAGCAAAGAATGCAAATTGGATTGCGTACACCATGGGACACAGGTTGCACTTTAAGGTTGCGTGACAGCTCTTGTGACGCCGCATATGATCTCGTAGTAGAGTGCGATGGCCGAAGTCCTTGCTGCAGATCAGGCAGCGCCGCTGATGCTTGTCAGGATGTGTCTTTTCATGCTCTGCCATCTCTAAGCGGCTCGGAAAATTGGCACCGCAGAGGCTGCACCAAAACGGCCACTCTTTTTTGTGCACAATTGAGTGCTGGAGAAAGACATTGTGTGTGTCAAAGACTTCTCCGCAGACTCCGCATTCGTACCCAACACTGCCTTTGCTGATGCATTCGTTGTCTTCTCGACCACCCGTCATCTGCAAAGTAGTGCCCGTAGCTGTTGCTTCGCACTGGTCACTACTGGAACTTGGAAGCTCCGTCTTGGTGTTAATGTGCCCTGGATCGCCACACGCTGAAAGTTTCGAGAGAGATTTAAAACCTTAAATGGCAAAAGATTGCACTAGTTCGTAGGTGGCTATCATGAAGGAAACTACAGCACATAAACATAAAACACAAGAGATATCTCAATATCTTGTATCGCTCATTAAAAAGAGGAAAGTAAAAAGGAATAGAGAAGCATTACAGACAAGCTCGGCACAACAGGCGACGTGACCATAGAAAATACGAAGAAAATTGCTGGGAGTCAACATGTGGCCTCGATTTTCCATTTAGGCTCTGAAGCCTAACCTCGTGCATTGAATGTTATGCATTATACAACTTGCACAATGAATCAAGCAGTATAAAATATCAAGCTCAAGGACAAGAGCACTTTTTTTCAAATGAAGTCAGAAAAGACCCATTCAAAATACATTAGTATGCCTGGAAGAATTTCGCAAATGCCAAACACAAAGGAGAGTGCTAGGGAAGTGGCAAGCTACCAATGATGAAACAAGAGTATAGTTTGTTAATCCTTCTTGCACATCATTCTACTCTACTCAAGACATACAATAAACTGATCATACATACAGAAGTGCTCAAAAACACCTGTGTCCCTAGTAAGTGTACAAAATTAGTTAATGTCGTTAGGATGTCAAATAAGTCTTGGCCAGCCTATTTTATACGCACAGCACACAATTATGAATTTAAGCAAAGTTTATCCATGTCATTAATGGCAACTTTATAAAACGACAAACAAGATTAAATGCCCCAAAATCGCACTAATCGGGCAAGTCTTCAATAACAAGAGGTAGTCAGGGCAAATGGACCAATAAACGAGAAATCATCAGCCATGACAATTTCTCATAGGGACCAGAAACCACACAGGAGATGTATTCACTGAAGCGAATAAAACTAAAATATACAACATGAGAACATGGCTACACACAGCAACACCAAGGAATGACTCTGTGAAATTATAACCACGAAGCAGGGCCCCAACATTAGTTTTTCTAGTAGCTTCAACTGCAACTTGTGGCATAACCAGAAAGGTGGTTTGGGGGATTCAAACTTCCCTCGAAAATTTTACATGTTCTATGTGTATATAGATATGCTCACTTTTACAAAACACGTATGAACATACATAAAGGGGAGTAGGACTTGAAAAAGACATTTCTGACTACACCCCTGACCAGAATCCTGTATCACCGTCAAATTGTTGAAGAACAATGTGGCTCCACTGCAAAACAATCATGCAAAAAATAAATTTGTATAAGCCCCGCATTACAACATTACCTAAGTTTTTTTAATTTTTTGCCACTACAAAGCTAATGTCATGACATAAAAGTTGCTCACAATTGAAAATCGAACCATAAAAGCATATAGACTGGTCTACAGATATTTGTTCAAGCCCGTCATAAACATAGTCAAAAACAAGCAAGTTACAGAACTACCACAACGTAATAAAAAAATTTGCAGAACTTTTATGCTTCACTCAAGGGTCTTCCTAAAAAGCCTCATTTTTGATACATAAAAACCTTGCAACAAGCATATCCCTTATAAGCAGAATAGAACCCCTTCATGATTGTCTCATGTGCAAGCACCTATATTTTCCACAATGCTGACGGTTTTAATACATGCCTGGTAATTAATGAAGCCACAGCGCTCAAAACAACGGCACCACGAAAGAAAAAGGAATGTTTGCTACTCGAAATTGAGTTAGGATTAGCGCATGCCCCATTCTCGGTTCGGTCTCTGTGCTTGCAGCACGATGGTTTCATTGAACGCAATAAACCGACTAGACCAAAAGCCCTTGGATGTTTGGCATATTTTCACAAAATTCATGGAGTATTGTCAACTTGCTCTTCGGGCACATGTGGGCGCGGAGAAGTAGTGTGGGGGGGTGTAAGGTTGTCTGCGCCGCGTGGCGCACGTGTCTCGCCCCAAGGCTTTGTTTCGGCGGTGACCACCGCCGGGCGATAGATGGCGTTGTTCGCTTTGAGTACCACAGTTGGTAGAGTGGTAGCGCCGGCGGTGGCCCCTGGCGGAAGGCAGGCCTTGGCGGTGGGCGAGCGTTGAGCGAGTCTCTTCTGCGCGTGGCGGCTGCCGCGAACGGTTGTCTCTAGCGTGGGTCCCGGTGCACGGCACCGCGGGCTTTGCGCCGGAGTCCCACGTGGAAAGCCAGGCGTTGGCGACGCCGCCTTGGGTATATGTTAGTGTGTTGGGTGTGTTAGTGCGTGTTTATCATGTTATTGTGTGTTTAGTGTGTCACTGCATTATGTTGTTTGTATGGTAGCGTGTTAATTGAAATTTGTGTATCATTCGGCGGACGATATCGTCGTCTAAATTAGTTAATAAATGTATGTATGTTGTGTGCGTTGTACCGACCGCGTCAACTGTGTCCGTTCACTCCAAGAGCGTGGCGTGGCGAGGCGCTCGTTCGCCTCGCTGAGACCTTCACAGTAATTAAGACAGATTACATCGACAAGAATACTATATACACATCACCTTTGACAATCATCATTACCTGGTTTTGCTTGTCATGCCTTTGCAACATATAAAGTGGCAATTCAAGTGGCAATGCAACAGCAAGCATAAGAGCTTCACAAAAATTGAGCAGAGTGAGACACTGACAACCACACAATGTTCTAGTGACAGTTCCCTAAATGTTCAGCGCTAAGTAGGTAACAATGTCCCCAGTACGGTCTTGCAGTCTACATGAATGGTTGTTTACTGCATATGTAGCTGTGGTATCGCAAATGAACGCGCAGCGTGAATGCCTTTCCACAGAAGTTGCGAAGAAACGGCTGCTACTTCGTATGAGTCCTCAAATGCATGCACAATTCAGACAGCCGATCGGAGGCCTTGGAGCAGTGATGGCACTCGTGGCACTTTCGATCGTTCCCATCATACTTCTGGTGCCTCTTGAACGACATATTGTCGGCATAGGTTTTGTTGTGCTGGTCGCAGTCGAAGCTGGCGTGGTTACAGTGGCTACGTAGATTCTTTATAAGCTACAGCCTCGTGCCAAACCTCCAGGTACATCAAACACATTACTTGTACGGTTACTGCAAAAGATAACAATCTTCAATGGGTGCATAGCAGCTGTCACAGCGAGATGTTGTTGAGAATTTCAAAAAAAATGAAGAGCTTCACGTAAACAGTGATCATTGTGTGTCTATCACCAGAAATGCTAGTCGTTATCTCATTATTTCTCTTAGAGTATCTGGTTATTAAGCTTAATTACAATTTTATAATCAGCTAACCTAAGCTATCAGTCCAAAGATTGCGGAAAACATTTATAAATGGCCTATCTGTTAATAAAATCAAAGGTATAGCTTGTTAAAAAACAAAAAACAAGCCTGGTACATTAAATGAGAGTTTTGTTTTGCTGCGAAAATAAGGCTGGTCTGCATTAAACTGACTGTAATTGATTATCTACTAAGCGATGCAACAGGCAATGTGCCATGTCATAACTGAAGCACCTCCAGCAACATATTGCAGCAAAAAAAAATCACACACCAAGATTTTTTGTGTCAGTACTCCTTTAGGACATCGACAAGCATACCTCCAAAGGTAACTAGTAAAGAGGCATAGGCATGGTCAGAGGGGCTGGGGGTGTTTTAAGCCTACACCCCTCTGAAACATATGTATATAGTACTATATACAAACATATGCACAAAAATGTATAAGGGCAGTCGGACACTCCTTTCCCAGAAATGAAATCCTGGATTCATCATTGTTAGGAGGGTCAAGTATAATTTTTAGTGCTACTGCTAGAAATTACAGATGTTCTGTCCATCAGATGTGCAGTGACCATGAACGAATGACATGTTCTCATATGAGTTATTATAATTGCTGTGTATCCAATAATTATCAACCCATTTGTAAAATCGCACTTTACAGAGACACTCCTGATGATTGCAAATTTAACTGTAAGCCAAGAAAGCGCTATCAAATGAAAACTTTTCTCAAAACCTTCTCAGTTCAGCAGCTGAGCACATGTCCATTCGTTTCACATGTGCCCTTCCATAACCGTGCACATGTAAAAAGCGCAGCCAACACTCACAATGCAGTTCTAAACACACACACGGGTGGAGGAGTATAGAAATTAAGTAGGAAATGGCAACCACTGCGTCAGATCTTTACGTGATCCAGACAATGACCTTGCTTATATGTTCAATGCCAAGGTTCAAAATACAAGCTGTTGTAAGCCAACGTTCCACCACTCATAAATTATGATGTATACACTTGTAGATTCCCTCGCACACAAAATGAAGATAGTAGGAGCAGAGGCAAACAAGGGCAGTACATCATGTGGCTCTAGGCCAAACTGCACTCTGGAAAAAGCAGCTTGCAATAAGCAGAAAAGTTCACCCCGTAATGACAGTGACATAATGGTCCAGAAAGCTACCAACTATTTCTCCAAGCAAATGAAAACACCACAAATGCATGAGAACAGATTATTTTTACTATAATGTAGTGGAAGTAGGTTTGCCACAGATCATATAAATTATTGATGTGATAGTTTAAGAGGTCCTCAGAAATTATCACCATTGAAATCTGGCAGCGTCATACCTTTAATGCCATTTAAAGTGAGCAGGAAAGCACTTTGGTGCATTATTTGCAGAGTCTTTATTTCTATTGATGTTTGTGGGCTCTGTTAATGGAACATATTATGCTATGCAACTGTGCCTTTTGCGGGAACAGGAACTTTGGCTAGTATTTTTACGGTTGTTAAGCTAGTGCACCACTCCTTCAGAACCACTGCTGTGAAAGCGTTTGGGAAAGCATTCATTCCATCTAGCGAGAATTTAGATGCTTGCTTTGGATGTACAAATAATTCAGGTTTCACTTTATGAGTAAGGGCCTTCGAGCCTTCAGGTCCGAGGTCGAAATTGGGTGCAACTAGGTTTTTATTTCAATGGGGGGGGAAGGGGGGAAGAGATTGTGTGTTTGCTCTTATCTGTGTGTATGTGTACGTGTGTAAACAGTTTATACTGATGTGATAGCTGTAAAAACTTTTGGCAGTGTTGAACACCTTAAACCACTGCTTCTGATAATGCCAATGAACTAAAGGCCTTTTTCAACATTGCGTCACTGATCAGTGTGTGGTCACGGGGCACTATAACGAGCAGCACGAACTTAAATTTGTGAAGCCACGCGCAGTAAGCAACACAGAGATTCTTGCATTAACATGCCCTCAATTTCGATTCACGGACGTGACATTAGCTATCTGGAGTCCACTGATGCGACAGTTTCTAGATAATGTTTGCTGTATGACCTTTATCATATGTGCATTTATGCTTATGTTTCGTGGTTCTGCGTAGACACCGTTTTATATATATGGCAATTGTTTTGGAATAAACCTTGTTTGTTAGCTCAGTGCCGCGTCTTTGTCTCGTTTCGTCATTAGCGCTATTTTATTCTTTGTCTACAAAAATATGCACCAACCATTCCAATCAAGGGCAATGCTGAAGTGCAGTCTTAATTGAAGCCAGAACCATATAGTGTGTTTAAAGGTGCATTAAAAATATACATGTACTTGTTGGCAAGCTTAACCATTATGATTTCCTTTTACCTTTAAAAGGCTTTGCAATAAGTAGTTTTGCAAAGCCACGAGTGCGCAGATGGCACTCACACATGCTCGGGTCCGTGGTGTCGCAACACACCAAACGCCTGCAAATTGCAGGCGCCCCTGCGGGAGGGCGCTTTTTTAGAGAGATTAATGAGGCTTCGCTATAGTGCACTAACATAGTACAGGTAATAAAATATGCAAAACGTTGCAAACTTTCTCAATAATGTGAAGGAAAGTGAAAGTTCAGCAATGGCTTACTTGCATATTGTATGTATTCTTTCAAGTGCAATTACAATAACCGATACAGAATTTTTTCTCGATAGAGCGAGTTTTGTTAGCACTTATTTCACTGTCCTTTCTATATTTTTCCAACCCAGAAAAACAGGGGGCGGAAGATGGCTAGCAGTGTAGGATGCCTCCTTTTGTATGCGGGGCCACATTTTCAGTAGCACCTTTGGCTGGTCCTTCGACACCAACTTCGCGACTCTGCTCATCACCAATATCTGAAGGCTCCCTCTCAATGGCTGTGCTCATGAATCCATTGTCTTCGTGAACTGCGAGTTTGAAGAAAGGTGTATCAATAGTGATCACAGGGTGGCCGAAGACAATACTGTTCCCATCTTGCTTTGAAAGAGTTCAAGAAATTTAGGAGAACACACCTCCTGCCGTTTTATGAAGGTTCTCGCCAATGGCATCAGGAGGTTCAACCTTCAGGGCAATGCTTGCATGTCCAAGGTCTTCTTGAAATGCATCACTCTATTTACCTTTATTTTATTTATTTTGATACTCTAAAAGTGAATATGGCATTAAATTAATGGGGGATTATTATACAACTAGAAAGTACACAGGCAGCAAGTAACAAGAAAATCGAATAGAGAAATACAACAGAAGTAACTGCAAGGTTCACTTAAAGCCTGTACCCGGAGTTATAAGCAATGCTGTTTTACATCATAGATAAAACTAAGATCAAGCAATAGTGCACGCCGAGAGAAATTAATATTTCTGCACACATGCGTATAGTGAAGATGCTTAAGTACGATTTCATTAACAGCACAGCACCTTTAATCACTTCTGAGCTTGGTAGATATTAACAAAAGTGGGACATTAACTGCTAAAAGCCAATGTACATATAACAGAGCTAATGCTAACGACATCAAAAAATGCTGTAGGTCTACTTCACTTATCTTGGACGGTAACGTGTATATTCTGCAAGTTTATTGCACTCTGCTGAATAAGATGCTGAGCACTGGTTAAACTGATCTGTGCATTATCAATTTTCACCTTCCCACAAATATTCCCAGCAAGTGCTGTATCCAAGATCTGGAACGACTTGCTCTTCGACATCAACATTCAAGAATCACTTTTCCAATCAAAAAATGAGTAAGGGCAATCGTAAACTACGCACAAATAGGCAAAAGATGCAAAGAGGTGCGGAACATGCGACTAAGGAAGAAACTCGAAAGTTACTTGCAGGGCAAAGAAAGACTGGCTCACATCTTAAATGCAGAATTCTATAAACTACAACAGTGAAAATCCATGTCCTCAAATAGCAATCTCAGTTCACTCTGCTTACCATAGCATTTCAAAGGTCCATTAAATCAGGAGAGCGATATAGAAAGCTACTTTACTAAACAATGTAGAGGTTAGCCTCACATTACGCTAAGCATGCCATTTCATATGGTTATCATGAATAGCTACGTGCTATAAAGAGATACGGGACATAGATGAAACACCACAATGCTAAACAAACTAACGTATCTTCCCGTTTTGAGTGCCAAGTATTTTTCAGTTTCAGGTATCGGGCTTGTGTCCTTGTCGGTGCGCAATCACGTGATCCCGCTTCACAAATTGCTTCATGCATGTGGGTGGCGGCTCTCCAGGTTGCTATCTCAGGTGGTCGATTACATACTCTCCTTGGTTTGCCTTGGTGCGTCGTTACGTGCCTTGGACACGATCGCCTGTGAACGAAGGTGGCACTGCAGTGGATGCACACAAAAGCAGGTTTAAAGCCCCGAGTTTGCAATGCTTTGCCAGATGCTTTGAGGTAGGAAACCTGACAGGGAGAGATGGGACCAAGCCATCGAATATGAAATGTGACGAGACTGAGGTTACATGTAAACATCACTGCAATAATACTCAATGTTATATTGCATTCCGTCATCCTCGTGTACTAGTGGAGATGAGAGATGGCTTATTTTCCCCCAAAAATAACCTATACGCTGACATACTATCTTTCTTTTCTTAAGCTGAAACAGCGGCAAAACACTGTTGCCTAGAATTACAGCCAAAAAGTCCGTGGATGATGCTCTAGAAACATTGCACAACCAATTTCAATTACAAGACAAACATTTCGCCGCAGCGGTCGCCTAGGGGTGGAGCATTTACCAGGCATGCAAGACATGCTTGCATGAAATCTTGGTATCCCCGCGTACCCAGTAATTTTTCTAAACGCAAGAGATGATCTTAAGCCTGGTGCACGGCTACTTGTCGAAGCTTTCTCCTCATAAAAAGAACCCCGCTGTTCTACTATAGCGTGCAGTATCTTGGGTACTCTACCTTTCCCTAACTGCAGGAGAGTTCACACACCCTCACAAACTCAATACAGGAACAGCACTGTGGTATTTCTTTTTCTTTCAATTTCATAAACAAACAAAAGTTTTAAGATCTAACTGCACAGCGAGAAAATCAAGGATCAAACAGAAGAAAACATTCTAGCACTCACTGATGTTAAATTATTTAGCTTGTCATCTTGTCCCCTTTTTTTCAATACTACAAAATTACGCCATGAAACACCGACCAGCCCAGTGTTTAAGACTGCTAGAAATGTCTAAACAATGCGTGTTGCAGAGCAGGCAGAAAAATTTCAAGAAATACCATCTGCACCAATAGACAAGCATGTCAATCGCTGTTTATAAAAATTCTGCAATGTTTACCATCAAGACTTGAGGCATTAAGAACAAAGCAGCAATTAAACTATGACTTGCACAGCAAGGTGTGAGAATCATGCGGACCAAAACAGAACTGTAAGTAATGTAAGCAATTGTACACGAAACATTTTGTTCATAGAAGTGAGTGTATAGCCTATTCTGCGGCTTTTGACCATGCGAACTAGAGCTGAAGTGACTCCATAAAGCTGTGATCCAGGTCGAGTCGTCAAAACACTGAATGCAGAAAGACAGATACTAACTTGTTTATTTCCATGAAAGGGTCAAAATAACACAGTCTGAATTCTCCAGCACTAAAATCAAACAGACAAAATCAACGGTGCTCACCAACAACAGAAACAATCAAAACATAGACATGAAGGTTTTTAAAAAATTTGAATCATCGCAAATGTACAAAACTATATGCGGTGACTTCCACTGTTGTGAGTGTGTGCTTGTGTGTGACAGTGTCATAAAGCCTGTGTGTATAATTCTCCCATAACACAAAACTGCACATGTTCTGTTCTTAACACAAATCAGTCATGTTGCCTCAAACCTCAATATCTTCTACCCTGGAAAGCACTTTGTCACGTAAAAGCCACCATGCAAAACCATACAATACCAATCAAATGATCAATAACAAAGGCTTCAGTAACAAATGATTATTTATGGTTACATATACCACTACACAGATATACCCAGAGTGATATACCCCACCCCTCTATACAAAAACAAAACAATTAAAGAAAGAAAATTATGGCACGCCATGGAGTTGTGTGAATCAATACATTTACAACGGTATGCCACACTTGAAGCATAAGAGCAAATGCATCATTCACGAACATTTTTCATACGTAATGCTAGAATACTATGCTCATCTCACATTGTGCAGTGCTGGCACTGCAGCGAGATTTATGAATGCGTTGTGTGGTTCTCAAAGGTAGTGTTCTCTTTGAAAACCACTTAAAAAGTAACAAAAAAATTGGAAAGTTTGTTAAAGCTAGACCTTCGTCAATAAAAAATCTAAGAAAGACCACACGGTATGAGAAAATGTCACATAGCGATTTAGATATTGTCACTAGGTATCTAGCAGCAAACCTCAAAATAAACCTTGGCAACAAGTGCGAGCTCAAGCTCACCGACCGTCATTTTGTTTGTAATGACCTAAACAGGCACCGATGAAGCTATGCGTGTTCAGGTGAGAACAGAGCTGACGCACGAGTCGTGTGAAATGCCAGACCCACCACAAGACGACGCTGCACACACTGACACCAAGATTGACAGCACATTTTGAGCCTCAGTCGCTTCCCAACATAACCTAAGTTGTTCCATGGATGTCAGTACATCGGACTAGAACTCTACTAATAATATCGATTTAATCGAAGTAGATAAGGCACTAGGCCAACACAAAGAGAGATTTCTTTTAGTTTTTTTTTCTTGCAAGCCTGGTGGCACACATGTATCCGCCCCATTATAAAGTAGACGCTCATAGCATCCATCCATCCATCCAGCCGGCAGTTGCTGCAGTTTTCACCGATTCCATTAAATATCGCACACAAACTCAGAGGCAATACAGTTTACATGAACAAATGAAGGTCCAAACTTTTAAATTTTCTCCAAATTTATTATGTTGCAGATTTTGGTATACAGAAACATGCACTGATTATAAAAACAATATCTTCGGTTTAACATCCCAACTCCACGATATTGTTACGAGGAAAAGGCGTCGGAGAAATATGTTTATTATCGAGAAAACAAGCAGGCACACAAGATGGAACCCAGTCTGCACTTATCTTCCATATCGAGTTTCAAGTTATTCGTGGCACCACGTAGCATCACCCCCCGGCGGCGAAGGCACCGTCTCGGTGCTCGGTTGGTCCGAGTGGTATCACTTCAGCCGAGAACCGTGCACGTCAGAACACGAGCGGGCGCTGGTGCTGTGAAATGGTTCAATTTCATAGGTCACATTGGTAACTTGGCGCACGATACGGTACGGACCTAAGTATGGTGAAGTCAGCTTTTCGCACAGGCCAACTCGCCGTGATGGCTTGCTGAAAAGGACCGTGTCACCACGCAGTAAGTTGACATCGTGGTGGCGGGCATTGTACTGCAGTCGTTGGTGGTCTTGCGAATCACTAAGACGCAGGCGAGCAATTCCACGTGCCTGTAGAGCTCTAGAGATAACATCGTGGGCGTAGTCCGATGTGTGCGTAACGGTAGGAAGGAGCGTGTCAAAAGGTAGCGTGGGTTCCCGTTTATACATGAGAAAAAAGGCGAGAAACTTGCAGTATCATGCCGGGACATATTATAGGCAAATGTCACAAATGGCAGGACCGCGTCCCAGTTACGATGATCGGTGAAAACGTGCATGGCGAGCATTTCTGTGATAGTTCGATTTAGCCGTTCTATGAAGCCCGTTGGTTTGAGGGTGATAGGCTGTTGTGCACTTGTGTCTTGTAGCGCAAGAATGCAATATGTCTTGTATAACCTGGGATAGGAAGTAGCGACCCCGATCGGTAAGTAGTTGTCGAGGGGCGTCGTGATGTAGTATGACGTCTTCTAGGAGAAAGTCGGCGACGTCGGTTGCACAACTGGTAGGAAGGGCCCGCGTGATGGCATACGGAGTGGCGCAGTCCGTGGCGACTGCTACCCACTTGTTCTTACTGACCGATAAAGGGAAAGGTTCAAGTAGGTCAAGACCTACCCTATAAATGGTTCCAATGGTATCTGAATGGGCTGAAGGCGTCCTGCTGGAAGGGTTGTTGGCTTTTTGCGGTGTTGACAGGATTTACAAGAAGCGACATAACGATGGACAGATCGGTACATACCAGGCCAGAAGAAGCGACGTCGAACACGGTCATAAGTTCTTGAGACTCCTAAGTGACCAGCCATTGGGATGTCATGTAATTGCGCGAGGACAGTCCGACGCATATGTTGGGGTATGACCAGTAGCAGCTCAGGTCCGTCGGGATGCATGCTGTAGCGATATAATACGCCGTCTCGGAGCAGGAACATACAGAGAGACGGAGGAGTTGTGGGACCAGTCAGACGAAGGATGATATCTCTCAAGTGAGGATCACTACGTTGCTCATCTCCGATGTTGCCGAAGGCGGAAAGTGCCAGCACGCAAGTAGACTCGCTGCTCTCAGGAACGTCCGGTGGTTCGACTGGATGACGCGACAAGCAGTCGGCATCTTCATGGTGGCGGCCCAATTTGTAAACGACTGTGTACGAATATTCTTGTAGCCATAGAGCCCACCGGCCGAGACGTCCGCTAGGATCTTTTAAGGACGACAACCAGCATAAGGCGTGATGGTCAGTGACAACTGTGAATAGCCGTCCATACAAATATGGCCGAAATTTACCCACTGCCCAAACGAGTGCAACACATTCACGTTCAGCGATTGAGTAATTTCGTTCTGCTGGCGATAAGAGACGGCTAGCGTATGCAATGAGGCGCTCGCAGCCATGCTGTCTTTGTGCCAAAACTGCTCCGATTCCATGGCCACTTGCGTCAGTGCGCACTTCGGTTGGAGCAGACATATCAAAGTGGACGAGAATCGGTGGCATGGTAAGTCTGGCGGTCAGCTCAGCGAATGCTTTGGCTTGTTCAGGTCCCCACACAAAAGTCACATCTTTCTTCAGCAGTTCCGTGAGTGGGCGCGCGACATTACCGAAATTCCACACAAATCTGCGAAAGTAGAAGCAGAGGCCCAGACAGTTCCGAACGTTGTTCGCGGAGGTCGGCAAAAGGAAATCTTTGACTGCACAGATTTTCTAAGGGTCGGGACGAACACCAGAAGAATCAACAAGGTGAGCAAGGACAGTGAGTTGGCGGCGGCAGAAGTGACATTTGTATGAGTTCAACTGAAGCCCTGCCTTGCGGAAAGCAGAAATAATAGTCGAGAGACGCTCGAGAAGTGTTTCAAAAGGCGGTGAGAAGACAATGACGTCATCGAGGTAACACAAGCAGATTGAACTGTGAAGGAGAGCGTCCATCATTCGTTCAAATGTAGCTGGGGCATTGCGTAACCCAAACGGCATTACTTTAAACTGATAGAGTCTATCGGAAGTTATGAATGCTGTCTTTTCACGGTCCATGTCATCAACTGCTATCTGCCAGTAGCCAGAACGGAGGTCAATGAAAGAAAAATTATTTGCTCCACTATGGCAGTCAAGGACGTCATCTATCCGCAGCAGGGGATACACGTCTTTTTTCGTTACCTTGTTAAGATTCTGGTAGTCGACACAGAAACGCCAGCTGTTATCTTTCTTTTTGACCAGGACGACTGCCGAAGCCCAGGGGCTTGAAGAAGGCTCAATGATGTTCCGAGCAAGCATCTTGTCGACTTCTTTCTGGATCACATGGCGTTCGATGGAGGATATCCGATAGGGCCGCCGATATGCCGGATTTGCATGGTCGGTGCTAATCCGATGCTTTACGATGGTCATTTGGCCTAGTGGTCGGTCGTGGAGATCAATGATGTCTTCATACGACGCAAGAAGGCTATGAAGCGCGTGCACATGCTCGGCAGGGAGATCAGATGTGATCATTTTCGTTATGCCATCTTGGGTAGTGCCCAACTCAAGACTAGGAGGTGACGGTGTATCCTCTATAAAAGCAGAAAGGTTGTAGTCGCTGGCCGAGGCAAGTGTTGCTAGGCATATTCCTCGAGGCAGTACTTCCGCACAAATTCCAAAGTTGACAATAGGGAGACGTGCCACGTTGTCCTTCATAGTGATAATCGTGTGCGGGAACGTTACATTGAACGAAGAAAGAACGGTAGCGTTAGGTGACACCACATAATCTCCGCCGGCCACAGGTGGATCGGAAGAGACGTCCATATTCGTCACAGCTCGACATAATAGGCGAATGTGCTCGACGGAGCATAGCCTTTGCGGCGCAGGAGCAAGATGGTCAACGCCGTGGGTTAAAGCAAGTTGAACAACACCCACAGAACAATCAATTAGAGCAGAATGTTCCAACAGAAAACCTAATCCCAGAATGATTTCATGTGGGCAGTGGTTCAGGTCGTAAAACAAAACAGAAGTATGACATCCAGCCACAGTTACACGGGCGGCACACATCCCAGTGACAGTTGACGTTGCTCCATCAGCCACTCGGACTACAGTGATAGGAGCAGGCGTAAGCACTTTCTTTAGCCGAGCACAAAGACCAGAGTTCATTACAGATATGTGAGCGCCAGTGTCAATGAGTACTATTGCAGGTGTGCCGTCTACATTTACGTTGATCAAGTTCTTGTTCTTGTGTCCGGGTAGCGTGCGCAGAGGAATTTCGGGTCGGGTCGTCAAGGCAGGCTCACCTCTAGGAGCCGCGCCCGCTAGTTTTCCGAGGACTGGTGGCGGTAGGAGGAAGAGGGGGAGCGGCGACGCTTAGGTGAGCGGGACAGGCGTCCGGATGGCGACGGCGAGCGGTTTGGTCGGGCGGGCATGGGTAGCGAAGCATTGTTGTGGTCGATGTATATTGGCATGCGGGAACCATTAGGTGGGTGCCGGGTGTTGGCGTAGTGCGGCCATGACTGCCAATTCCAAGAATTACGGCAATGACGTGAAATGTGGCCAACTCGTCGGCAGTGGAAGCAGATAGGTCTATCATCGGGGGTTCGCCATTCAGCCGAGTTCCGGTAACGTGGATGGTTGTACGGACCGCGGGGCATATTAGGTACACTAGGTAATTGGTCAGGTCTGTTAACTGGGCAGAGCATCTGTAGCCCGACGTTGGCCAGTTCCTGCTGGACAACGGTCTGTATTAAAGAAATTGTTTCACGAGAATCGTCAGTGGCACGGGCATGATCAACAATAGGAGATGTGGCCTCGATTCCACGGCGGACGATGCACACAATATTGTCGGTAGTAGCAGCAGCTGAAGGGAGACGGGCGTCTTTGCAGGTAGGTGTGGCAGCCGTGTTGGGAAGGCGCGGGAATTCAGGAGTAATACGGCGATTTTTCGCTTCTTCAATGCGTCGGCATTCGTTGATGACGTCGTCCACTGTCGAAGAGTTGCGGAACACAAGGAGAGTGAAGGCATCATCCGCGGTTCCTTTGAGGATGTGCGCGACCTTTTCGGATTCCGGCATTTTGTCATCTACCGTGCCGCAGAGGGCGAGCACATCCTGAATGTATGTCACGTATGACTCAGTGCAGGACTGCAGTTGGCACGCGAGTTCTTTCTGCGCTGAACGACGACGTCCAATGGGCTTGCCAAGAGGTCGATGATTTGTGTTTGCAAATATCCCAACTCGTGATTTCTTCTTCATGGTTGGAAAACCAGACTTTGGCCGTGCCCTCAAGGTAAAATAAAATATTGGCCAACATGAGCGTCGGGTCCCAGTTGTATAGAGCACTGACCCGTTCGTATAGCTGAAGCCATTTTTCAACATCCTTGTCGTCGTTGCTGGAAAATGTGCCTGGGTCATGTGGAGTCGCCAGAACGACGGTGCGGTTCGTGACGACTGGATACGACGCTGTTGGACGCTGCGCGGTCTGACGAGGCACGCTTTGGGAAAGTACCGACGAATCCCTGTCCTCGTCGTGATCAGCCATCGTAGAGGCAGTCGAGGAACGCCCGCTTAGTAGAATCGTCGTGGATGTTGATTCTGGGAGGACCCGCACTCTCCACCAAAATGTTACGGGGAAACGGCGTCGGAGAAATATGTTTGCTATTGAGAAAACAAGCAGGCATACAAGATGGAACCCAGTCTGCACGAGAGCTTCGACATCGTCTTTTTCCTTATCGAGTTTCAAGTTATCCGCGGCGCTACATAGCAATATTATCATGGGAGGCGCTGTAGAAGAAGGCTCCGGAAATTTCAACCACCTGAGGTTCTTTAACGAGCACCTAAATCTAAGTACACGGGCCTTAAACATTTTCGCCTCCATTGAAAATGCAGCCGCCACAGCCGGGATTCAATCCCGCAACCTTTGAATTAGCAGTTGAGTGCCGTAACCACTAGACAACCGCGGCGGGGCAAGCACACACTGAGGATCACATATACTGGCTAACAGTGAATGCCATCAAAAGCAATTAAACTGGTAAAAACATAGAAGTTACAGATTAAAGAAAAAACTTTTTTTGCAATGTCCGAAAGGAAGGATGTTCATCTACACTATATACGTTAGAAACACATAGTTTGGTACAGTTAACACTCAGTGCCAAGAAACATCACAAGAATCGGCAACCAGCACAGATGAAATTCAAACAAGCTCTTACAAGTGGCAACATGCTTGCTCTGAACAAGCAAAAGATTTGCATTGAAACACATCAATCTTCTATATCAGCAAATTCCACGCATAAATTACAAGTAATGTGTACTTAAGCACAAGGGCAAATGATTGTAGGTGGAAATATAGACTGAATGAACATTGAGGACCTCATCACACTCTCACTGACCAGAACACACAGCTACACAACATGGCAGAACCACATCATACCAGCCATCAAACCCATCTGTCTGCCTGTCATCATCATCAGCAGCCTGACTATGTCTACTGCAGGACAAAGGCCTCTCCCATGTTCCGCCAGTCAACTCTGTCCTGTGCTTGCTGCTGCCAATTTATACCCGCAAACTTCTTAATCTCATCTGCCCACCTAACCTTCTCCTTCCCTCTAGCCCGCCTGCCTTCTCTGGGAATCCAGAGAAGGCAAGCGTATGTGTCTGTCATCACATACGAATAATTCTAGCTGCAGAGTCGGCACAAATTTTTCAGCTGTTTTGTTTGAAGCAACTACTCCCTTTGATGGAGCAAGGATATGGGTCACATGCTCCAACAGATGCTCCAACAGAGAGCACATTCTGAACCTCAGTCGCTCGACAGCACTTCCTTCGCATTTCCTTCGTGCATGGCTTCTACTGCATGCTGGACCATGAGAGCTAGCCAAGGTGGAGCAATGGATTCCACAATGCGTCGTTAATGTCATATAACCTTCCTAAGTATGCTCAAGGGAACTTCTGCATAGAGCCCTTGGCTTTTTAAATCAGTCAGCAGGTTAAAAAAATGGCAGGGATTTTGTGCCAGATTGTCCAAAAAAGCTCAACACCCTAGCTGTGAAGCCATCACGGTTGCTTAGCCAGTGGCAGTATGTTCGGAAATCATACTACAAAGAAAAATACAGTAGAGCTATTCTCGAAACATTGATTGATATGTGGGGTTTAACGTCCCAAAACCACTATATGATTATGAGAGACGCCGTAGTGGAGGGCTCCGGAAATTTAGACCACCTGGGGTTCTTTAACGTGCACCCAAATCTGAGCACACGGGCCTACAACATTTCCGCCTCCATCGGAAATGCAGCCGCCGCAGCCGGGATTCGAACCCGCGCCAAGCGGGTCAGCAGCCGAGTACCTTAGCCACTAGACCACCGCGGCGGGGCATTCTCGAAACATTAATCTTGTGGACTGTACATTTCGACCCTCGCTTTTGGCCGAAACTTGAGAAGCAGCGAGCCCTATTTTTGTTTCTATTTCTACAGTGTCATTCTGTTGTCTAAAAGCTTTCACAACTCACGACACGAATGGGAGGAACAGAATGCACTTGCGACAAATGCAGGCACTCTATTCCACAAAAGATTTAAAAAAAAGCTGCATACTCGATGTTTCAGATTTCCCTGATAGTATTGCATGTTATGCCCACATGACTGAAAAACGCAAAATCGTAATTTGTTTTCAAATAAACATTGTTTTCAATGAAGGAAAATTTGACAAGTGTCACCAGTTGGCGGTGACAATTTTACGTAGGGTGCGCTTTCTTAAGTCTGCGACCATACCGACAGCCACTGATGCTATATACTGCAAATATATTTATTTTAAGAACAAAAGTAGAGGAAGTAGCTTTCACCGTTTTATTAAATTCCAAAGAAATTATATATTTTTTCAAAATTCTCCCAAGACATTGCATTTTAAAAATTTAGGCGATTTCAGGACACTGCGGCTACCTCGGTGAAAATCGTATGTTGTTCATATTTGCAGTATGAATAGACCTTTATTTGAGCAAGCAACCTGTGCAATTGTATTTCTACTTTAGCCTTTAAAGTAATAAATTTTTATGCTTGAAACATCAAGAAGGCAAAAGGCAATATAAAAAAACCCACTCTTAATTTTGTTCAAAACCCCGCAAAATGTTTTCAGAAAACTTCAGAATGATGTCATGAAAAACATGTTGTACCATTTTTGTTGAAACAAAATTAGAAAGCTTTAAACTTTGTGTTTCTACAGCGTGGTTGCTACTGCGTATTAACATATCTTGTGACAAGAAAATAAAAGAACACGCCTTCTTTTCTCCTAAAGCATGGCTTAGATAACAGTAATGATGCCTTTTCGGTGAGTGGGAACTGTTTCGTAAAGAAATCAATTGTTCTAGTTAAAGGCGTTTGCGACACAATTTAGTCTTCATAGATGGCCACCATGCACTTTTTCATTCCTTTGGGTTATGTTCTAAAAATGAGGTAATACAAAAACAGTGAAAGCCTAAACTTGAAATTCGGGTAACCGAGCTGATCGTACATTGAATCTCAAACAGTGACAGTGGCTAATGGTGAGTACCGCAGTGCCATCTTGAGGGACAACCGCCACGCATGATTTCTGCGTGCTTTGCCGTTCTGTCGGAGAGAACGCTAAGATGTCCTTACATAATACATTTTTCCCTGCTCGTCGCAGTCCCGCCTAGTTCTTTAAATCCGCACCGCGCAGATCGTGTGGCAGATCGAGTGGCCTGCGCTCTACGCCTTTGTGTGAGTAAAGTACCATGTGTGGTGCGGTCTGGTGCAAAATGCGACCAGGCAGACGATAGCAATAAGCGCGGCTGAGCCAGTGAGCCAAACACCATCAGAGATAGAAGTTCATGCTTCTAAACTGTGCTTCTCTTTGGTGCGATCACTGTCCTCTGCTCTGAAAGTGGCTATGGCTAAGCGTTATAGCCATGACCGAGTTTTTCGTGCGGACTATGTTACGGTGCACAAGAAGAAAATTCCGCTGCAGCTGAATTCTCTATGTGTAGAGCGTTTTGGTGTCTCTCTTTTGCATAGCATCTTGAAGCAAGTTGCGTGCTCAGTTCCAGAAGGAAACCAGATTTGCCAGCGCTGCTTCAAGAGATACAAAGACATCGGTTTCATCTTACTATGATTTCAGCAATACTGGTGACTCCTTTGTTCTGAGCAAAAGACAGTCAATGAGATGAATGAGTTCATAAAGTTTTTTAGCATTTCACCTCTGAGGCTCCCTGGTCATATTTCTCAACTGCTAAGAAAAGTTTATGCAAAGATAAAGCTGGAAGGGAATGTAAAGTACAATTACAGGCAGAAGTTACTCGTGAGTCAGTGCCATATTTGGGACAACCAACAGTCCTAGGCACTCAAGTAGGAAATGTGGCGATTGCAGAAGAATGGCTGACAAACTTGGGAAAAGCCTACCTTGCATCAGCAGCTTACCAAGAATGCCTGCAATTGTTGACGCTACTGCCCGCAAAGCTAGATACACGAATAATTCAAGTCGCCATACCAAATCTATCGTGTTACGTGCTTCGAGAGTCATGAATTTGATGTGAGAAGCATGGTGTGCCGGCTGCGCCATGATCCACACCACGATGATTGATGATTGATAGGTGTGGTTTAACGTCACAAAACCATCATATGATTATAGAGAGACGCCGTAGTGGAAGGGCTCCGCAAAATTTCGACCGAACTTGGGTTCTTTAACGTGCACACAAATCTGAGCACACGGGCCTACAACATTTCCGCCTCCATTGGAAATGCAGCCGCCGCAGCCAAGATTCCATCCCGCGACCTGCTGGTCAGCAGCCGAGTACCTTAGCCACTAGACCACTGTGGCGGGGCTAGATCCACTGCACAGGTCTCGCTTAACTGCCAAGGTAGTGGAAAATGCTATCAGATATTAGGCTAGAGATGAGCATGGGTGCTCATGGCAAAGCCTGAACAAGAAGGAAATTGTGGCTGTTATATTGATGGTGAAAAACGGCATATCGCCAGAAGATTTACTGACTCGCTCAGTGCGGGAGTCATATCATGTGCTTAAAAAGGCTGATCCGGGAATTTCTATGGCACTACCAAAGCTTTACTTGCTCTGTCCTAGTTGGTTCTGCTTGCTCCACACGAAGAAGTTTGTCTTTGTGTGCATTGTGCCAACACCACGCTTTGTGTTTCTACTTTGAAAAGCTCGATGGGTGATGAGGATGGGTGATCAAGGACTTGAAGGAACTGTGCATATGTTTGTCACCAACAATGCAGTGCCACCTAGATGACGATGAGTAGAGTCCGTTGATAGGTCTAATAACTATCAGAATATCGAGGGCACCTTTCAAGACCGACAGTCTCCTATGTGGTGTGGGACGACCTTACAAAGAAAATCTCCTATGGCTTGCCTTGTGATGAGCTTGCAAACTGGATCTCCAAAAATTGGGCCCCGCACGATTATGTGCGGTGAACACAATCTGCAGGCAATTCATGAAGCAAAACAATGCGAGCAGCAAGCATTGATTATACTACATTTTGACTTCGCAGTGAATTGAACAGCCGCACCGTTTGTAAAACAGTCGCCGTCAACCAGCGATGCTTGTCGAATTTTCCTCTGTTCAAAAAATTTTTTGTTTGAAAACGAATTGTGATTTTACACTAATCTGTCATGTCAGCACAACATGCGGAACTACGTATCAGGAAAATCAGAAACATAACAGATTCAGCTTTCTTTTATCCTTCGTAGAATAGACCCTTCCAAGATCCACTGTTGAATGCGTAAGTTTTATAGACGGTGCATTAATTCTGATTTGGTGTACCACATTGGCCCTCGAACTAGGTTTCTTGTGGCCTTTCATACAACGCATCTGTGAAGGTCGAGACACACTGACTGCATTGTTCGCAAGCATCTAGGTTCGCGCTCATACGAAAGGACAGACTTATAAGTTTATTTAAGTATCCCGTGACTTATGCATTTCGTACACTATCTCCTTTCTAATAGTATGCTCTGCAAGTGGGATGCATTAACGTGGTCAAGAGTGCAATGACGTTAGTGACTTGCCCCATTCTCGTGTAATTGGCCTGAAATGGACATGGCCGTTCAGATGGACATGTTCGAGAATAGCTCACCAGAACTTCCTTTCAGTTGCCAGCTTTTATCTAGGTACCACTAGGCACACAAGCGCATCGGGACGCTGCGCTGACGACTAAAGTACGAGAACATCATTGTTGTAGGTAAATCGGGACAAAAACACAGTGGCTACAGAGCTTGCAAGTTAGTGGCCCGTTTTCTGTCGGTGCACAATCAAGTGTCCTCGCTGCACAAACCTCTCGTCGCAGATGTTACAAGCAAATGGCCGTTCCCCGGTGTGGATTCTTTCGTGCTCCACGAGATAGCCGCGCTGGAAGAAAGCCTTGGGGCAGTGTCTGCACTTATACTTTCGGACGCCTTGGTGGACCCTCTTGTGCCTGCACAGTGACTCCTTGTACATGAACCTGGAATCGCACTGCTCGCAAACGAAAGGCAGCTCGTCGCCGTGGGTGCGCAAATGCTTCGACAGCTGGTGCTGCAGGGGAAACCTGGAGGATCGGGAAAGAAGGAGAATTAAAACGCAGGTTGCAGCACAAGAAGAGTGTGTGGTTAATTTCTATAAAATGTTGGTCACTGTCTCATATCTTGCGCTGCTCTGCCATAATGTCAATGAACCAACTAGTCCGCCTAAGAAACAATATCACTACTGATGCACTGGAAGCAAGCCTTCAAGTGGTAAAAAACAAAAGGGTACTTGCACAGAGTGCAGAACTGGGGATGTCTATTGCTGCATCGCCACTGAACAAGCTTGACCTGGCGAGCCTCCTCTCAAAGTGGTTCTGGTCAAACAAGTATGCCTGCAAGCCAAGCTCGAGTCATGGCCAAGACAAACAAGCAGAAATTTGTTCGCATGAGTAAAGTGATGTTTAGGAATTGAGATAAGCTGCATGATCCACAAGAACAATGGTATAAACTGTTTTCTTTTTCTGCTTGTCTTTTATGGTGGTTGCAGGAAAATGAGTAAATTTGTAAGCTTTTACCATAGGTAAAGATTGCTTTGGTGACGTTCGATGCAGGCTCCCATCATTTAGTTTTCACAAACCACCCCAGGTTTTTGAAAAATTTCCTGCCTTTTCCAGACATGCCCAGGTATTCCGAGAATTTCAGGTTCTCCAGGTTTGTAGACACCCTGATAACCTTTATCTGCTTGCTGTTCGGTTTTTGTTTTCTGTAGAATCTAGTTTGTTTTGTCATATTTACTGTTTTATTTATCTTTATTCCATTTTATTTTACATACTGCAACCTCGATGAGGTTATACAGAAGTGTGAAAAAAAAAATAGCAAATTAATGTTCATGAACAGCCTTCAGAAATTTTTTAAGTGGTAAGAAACGGGCACCCCAACAGGGCAATTATTTCCAGGCTTCGATGGCTGAAAGAAAAACGCTACATGTTGACATATCAGTGCTGGTGAAAAAGACTGAGATCTTATGGGCATGGTAGCTATTCATAAAGGCCTGTAAGTCTCAAAAGTGTAGAGAATCGAAGGGAGGAGAACTGATTCGAGTGCAACTGATTCGAGATTTCAGGCATTCAACGTGGCAAAGCTTTGCAAGTGTAATTTGCAAAGCAGGAGAAAAAACAATGCTGCGGGCCATTATCAGTGAGACAGAACAAGCAAGATGAGTGATATTGACCGATATGTGGGGTTTAATGTCCCAAAACCATTATGTGATTACAAGAGACACGGTAATAGAGGGCTCCGGAAATTTCGACCACCTGAGGTTCTTTAACCGTGCACCCAAATCTTAGCACACGGGCCTACAGATTTTTGCTCCATCAAAAATGCAGCCACAGCAGCTGGGATTCAATCCCGGGACCTCCGCATCGGGAGCCAAGTGACTTAGTCACTAAACCACGATGGCGGAGCAAAAGTGAGAGAAGAAGACAATGATGTGAAGCTGTCGTGCACCGTTACCTTACAGCGAAGTGTCCAACTATTTGCTCGTAAATACTCTCATATTAGCCTTACGTCCAACTCCTTTCACGTAGCAATATTTTAGGTGCGCAGCATTTTAGGGGTTGGCTTGTTAGCATCTAATGTTGTCACGGTAAGTGACGTAGCCATGGTTCATCGTGAACGGGTATGTGAACACAAAAATGGGTAAATCACAATACTCGCCACCGGTCCAGTAAAAATTAAAAAGGCAACAGCTGATCCAAGAAACAGCCAACTATGTTAGTGGCACTGAAGTACCCTTCTTTAGATGCCTCAGCGAACTGAAACTGGGCATTTAGAGAAAAAAAAAGCACCACCTTAGAGTGAGCCACGTCCCGAGCCGCAGTTTTCAGAAGTTAGTAGAACGGTAACACCCTTCCATGTTACATGCCCGCCTTCATGCTTAGCACCCCAAGCCCTCATCTAAAAAATTCCTCTCAAAAACATTGGATGCTTCGCCCCTCCCCACATTTCACGTAAATTTGAGCTAGGAACCCGTTTCCCTACATGCTTGCCCTACCCAACTTTTTTAAATTTATTTTGCGACCCTATTGCTGTCATAATAAAAATCTGAATCTGATGAGTACGATATAATATCGTCACCATCAGCCTGACTACACCTACTGCAGGACAAAGGCCTCTTCCACGTTTTGCCAGTCAACCTCGGATGGTGTTCCGCCAGTCAACACGATTCGAGCATAACATATGACCTTCAGAACTCTTAATCTGCGAAGTAAGAAGTAAGTGAGACTCACACCGCGGAGCACAGGTGGCATTTATAGTCGGGGCTACCATAGTGAGACTGCACGTGCTCCCAGAGCCGAGTCCGGTTGACGAAGACCCTGTCACACCTGATGCAACGGTGCTTCCCTCTTCTGTTCCCGTGCTGGGCTTCAGTGCTTAGCCATGTCTTCTGAGTGGGCGAATGCTGCGCCGCAATGGCTGCACCAGAACGGCAGCTGATTGATATGCGCGATAGGAGTGCTGGAGCAGGTGCAAGCATGTTTCGAACATCGTGTCGCAAATCTTGCAGTAGTGCTGGTGATCACCGGACCCCACACATTTGCCCACTGTCTCCACTTGAACGAGAGTGTTCGATGGTGCAACGAAATTTCGTGTCGTCTCCACTTGAACAAGGAAGAGTTTCTGTTGGTGAAACGACATTTTGTTTGTTCACATAAGTGTCCGGTGGTTCAGTTTTAACGAGAGAATTTGTGAGCACGAGCTGTCTGTGACCTGCAGAAATAAGAATGAAGATATTGAAATATGGCTTAGTTTGCAAACGCTGCAAATACGGTTGTAGACAAAAGTTAATGCAACATAAGCTTGGCAAAATAAAAACTAAACTGCCATTTAGCCTCAAAAAGTAGCCCCAAATTAAAAACTTCAGCTAATAGTAGCTTGTGCAACCTATACAATCATCAATTAAATTAGAAGGGTCAAGCATTAAAATAGCAAAATTTTTCATTTCACTAGGGTCTGCATCCTGCAAACATTTGTCCCGACAGTACACACACATTTACACTGGCAGAAAGAAATACTGAAAGTGACAAACTTAGCACACAGTGAAAAACAATAAAATCTTATTTTCTAAGGCCACTTTCATTGCTTTCTTTTCACCTTCAAGAGGAAGCTGTGCAGGATTTAAATTTCAGCTGACATGAAATGAAGCGTGAAATAGAACAGCTTATATACACAGGTATTGATGAGATCTCAAAAACTGTTAATGGCTCCTTTTCAACTGTTAATCACCAAGCTTGAGCTGTAATTGTCCTGGCAGTTTATACCAACATCTTTAAAGATTAGTATGTCCATGCACAAACTCCAGCTCCTTCTTAACAGACCCTTTTTATAATCCGCAAGTGCGTTTTTCAGAGCTGGATGTTAACCCAACTAATGACAGCACTTGTTGTGCTACATGTGAAGACGAGGTCCTAGTTGCACATGCTAGGGCTCGTTTATTATGCTTAATTATGTCAACAGAGAGGAGTCCACATTTTCGACATCATAGCACAGCGAAAGTGTGCTTGAACATGCTTTTTGCAATAATAACTTGCCACCATTAGTAGGGCTAACTGTAGAGCAGGAAAGCTTGCTTTACAATTATGAAAAGGGTCCATAGCTTGCTAGAGACTAGTCAGGCTTGTCAACTTCAGTTTTCGCTATGCATAGTAAATCCTCTTTTTGGCTACCTTCGACAAACAGCAAGGTGTGCTCCCAGGCACTACGGTGATTGAATGAAATGGCCCAACATAGAGCAACGTGGCACCCTAGTACACACCAGGGCGATTTGATGATGATCCTTTAATGTTTTTGGTTTGCTTTCACTATTATATGTTTAGATAATTAAGTTCAAGCCTTGCACTTGGATTGATTACCATCTTTAGAGCAGGTGACCATTCTTATTTTGGCTGAATACAAGAGATAAACTTTATGTGAAAGTTCATTTTATTATGGCGACGTGTTTTGTACTTTCACCTTTTCCGAACATGATTCATCCACTGACACCCCCCCCCCCCCCCCAAAAAAAAAAAAACTCTCGACTGGACAACACAAAAAGGAGCCTACTGTCTGCAATTAGTATGAAAAATTCAGCACTTTCTTTGATGTATGTAATCGATTCTCACTCCATGAGTGATCAACAAAAATAAACAGTCCATATTCCTGGCTGTCCTTGTCTATGTTGATGAGACAGTACAGGCATTGTAGGGCTTAGTTCTCAAAAGCAGTGCTAGTTCATGTTATGTTTTTATGGCTTTGTCTTACCTGACTCTTCAAAGGTAGGAATTATGCAGGAAAGCATTATTCATGCATTCAGAACATGAAGTGTGTGACAAACACAAAGATGTGCGCAAACAAGAGAATGCAAGCTGATTAGCAAATCTACATCAAATCGACATCAAAGCAAATGCATGCTTGAAAAAATTGCATAATGAGAATAGTAAAGTGACTCATGTGCTTTACTATCTGTAACATACTGTAAGGAATTTCATAAATATCAAACTATTAAAAGAATTTGGTATTTCCAACTGCTACCAAATCAATAAACGTGAAAAGCATAAGTCGACAGTGTTTAAACTCAATCTTCAAGCACGAATAGGCATGCGTGTGAAACCTTTGTCAAAAGTACACGGGATACTCCATGGCTTCAAAGTAAGGATTGCTTGGCTGTTTTAGAGCTGGTGCCCATATGCAATTCTAGACACTTCTTGATGGTGATGCTTCAGACTTTTGGACGGCAATTACGAGTATTTCTGCCTAGTTGCATCCTCGTGGCATGAAAAGACAACACTGCAAATGTTTCGAAACTATGGCTGCTTCCGCTAATGCACAGAAGGGTGCGTAAGTCGATGATGGCGAGTGAAGGAGATGCCGTCACAAGGCTTTCATTTGTGCAAACAATCGCACCCGGCCCTACATTCTTTTGTCACAATGGTCACTTGTCACTTGCAAGGCAGGGCTTCGTGTACCCGTGACAGTTACGCATGCAGATTCATCCTTAGTGATCACATCTTCTGAAGAATGGATAACATTTTCTAGAACTGTCTTGCAGGACCCTGTAAGATAAAAGAAAATGATGTCAATAAATAAATGCATTCACCATGGCCGAGTCAATGTTTCTATCCCCATCACTGTATTTACGTGACCACCACTGCACATTTAATGTAGTGCCCGTCACTCAAAAGCGACTATGTTCCCTTTTTCTAGGAGCCCTAATATCTCTAGCAGACGCAGTCACAGGTTTTGTAGCAGTTTACAACAGCATTTTAAATGAAACTATTCTTTGAATGAATGAATGAACCTTATTTGAAGTTCGACAGTTTCATTTCGGGAAAATAAAAAAAAAATTATTAGGTTCAGATTCAATCATACATTGTAATGAGCACTAGCACCATTTTTCAAGAGGAATTGAAGGTTGTGGTTTCAATTGCCCTAAAAGCTGGAAACTTTATTTATTCGGTTTAAGCAATACAACATGCTTTTTATATTATTTGATGGTAGCTACAAGCTCATAATAATGAATACATGCTTTTGTTGTTTTCCACATTTCTGTGCTATTTTACTATTTCAATTTGCCTTTGTATAATTGATAACACTGATAATAAAACGTGTTGCATTAGTCACGTAAAGTTGTTCATTGAAGAAGGGTTTATTGACGACTGTTGCGACGGTGGTCCTACGAAGAAACACGATCGTGCAAGAGCAACGGTCAAGCTGAAGCCGGCGATGATCAGCACGAGCCGAGCGAGCGAAGCCCAGCACCCAGTACCCAAGCGGTGGCGATGTTGCTTGCCAATGACGCTCTTCCTTCTTCACAATTTGCCCCCGCCGAAAAAGAGCCATCCTGGCGAACTAAGAGTCTGGAGGCAGAGGGCTATAATATGGCTTAAGGCGGGCGACGTGGACGATGTCACGTCCACGCCGGCGCATGTCGTCAGATGGGGAAAGTGGCTCGATGAGAAAATTCACCGGTGAGGTTTGCTCCAAAACGCGGTATGGGCCCTCGTACTTTGGAACGAGTTTTGAGGAAATGCCGGGGGTTTGGTAAGGAACAGCCAGCCATACAAGTGATCCCGGGGAATAGCTGGGGCTTTGTGAAGAGTCGACGTTGTTTTCTTTCTGGCGCTGTTGTTCTCGAGACGTAAAGGTGCGTGCGAGTTCACGGCACTCTTCCGCATTTCGGGCAGCTTCGGACACAGATGGGCATTCGGATGCGTCAGGACGGTATGGAAGGAGAGTATCGATGGTGTGGGATGGTTCGCGTCCATAAAGAAGAAAGAAAGGTGAAAATCCAGTGGTAGACTGTGCCGCGGTGTTATATGCGAACGTAATGAATGGAAGAATGCGATCCCAGTTAGTATGATCGGATGTCACATACATGGCGAGCATATCGCCAAGGGTGCGGTTAAATCTTTCCGTGAGCCCGTTAGTCTGCGGGTGGTATGCCGTGGTCTTGCGATGAACAACATGGCATTCAGAAAGCAGAGACGTGACGACTTCTGATAGGAAGGCTCGACCTCGATCGCTTAGTAGTTCTCGAGGTGCACCATGTCGTAATATGAAGCGATGAAGGATGAAGGATGCTACGTCCCGCGCAGTGGCACTTGGAAGGGCGGCGGTCTCAGCGTAGCGTGTTAAATGGTCCACAGCGACTATAATCCACCGATTTTCATCTGATGTTGTCGGTAGAGGGCCATAGAGATCAATTCCGATCCGATCGAAAGGTTTGGCAGGGCACGGAAGCGGTTGAAGCGCACCGGACGAGTGGAAAGGCGGTGATTTGCGACGTTGACAGTCAGGACAGCCCATAACGAATTTTCGAACGAAATTATACATTCCGCGCCAGTAGAAGCGATGGCAAATGCGTTCGTAAGTTTTGAAAACTCCGGCATGACCACATTGGGGATCGTCGTGAAAGGAGGCGCAGATTTGTGATCGCAAGCTGCACGGGACAACCAAGAGCCACTTACGACCTTCGGGGGCGTAGTTGCGTCGGTGTAGTAGCCGATCACGAATGGCGAAATGAGCAGCTTGACGTCGGAGAGATCGTGGTACCGCAGTGGTTGACGATCCAGAAAGACAGTTAAAAAGAGAAGCGATCCACGGGTCCTTGTGTTGTTCACTGGTAAAGGAGTCGAGGTCGAGAGATGCGATGGAGATACCAGTGGTTCCGCAGGCCGAGTCGTGAGGTAAAGGCGAACGCGACAGGGCGTCGGCGTCAGAATGCTTGCGTCCGCTGCGATAGATGACACGAATGTCGTACTCCTGGATTTGCAGTGCCCACCGAGCTAGGCGGCCAGAAGGGTCTTTCAATGTGGCGAGCCAACAAAGTGCATGGTGGTCCGTTACCAGGTCGAATGGGCGACCGTACAAATAAGGGCGGAACTTGCGAAGCGCCCACACTAGCGCCAAGCACTCTTTTTCAGTGACGCTGTAATTGGCCTCAGCTTTAGTAAGTGTGCGACTCGCATAAGCGACGACGTATTCGGAGTAGCCCGGCTTGCGTTGGGCGAGGACGGCGCCTAGACCAACCCCACTTGCGTCTGTGTGAACTTCCGTTGCAGCTGTTGGGTTGAAATGCCAAAGAATTGGAGGAGATGTTAGCAGATTACGGAGCGTGGCAAACGCGACGTCGCAGTCAGAAGACCAGGATGAAAGGTCTGCATCACCGCGTAGGAGGTTGGTCAGTGGTGACATGATCGATG